GGTTATTCCAGCTCGGCTGCATGGCCGTGCGTTGAAGTGGACCAGAGGCAGCCACATAAATGTGGCTGAGTGCAGGGAGTGGGGAGAGCTGAGCTCTGCTGCCGGGCTGCTGAGGGTCTGCAGTAATGTGTGTGTCTGACTTATCTACACAGAGAGCAGCGATTCTGACTCCATGCCTCTTGGGAAGACCAATGGAGGGTGGTGTTTTTCAATATTCTTATGTTAACTAACAGGCCCCCCCTTGTTTCTAATAAATCTGACTCACTGTGGTGCACTAGGACATGGAGGGAGGTGTGTTCACTAGTACTACTTTGAAAAACATGATCAAGGTGATTAGTCCTCACTGCATCTTTCTTTTCTACTGCATTTTTAAAGCCTGATTAAACCCCTGGTATACAACACAGGCCTGAGATGGATGGCCCCTTTCATGGACGTGGCCCCCGTGTGTTTCCACTGCACAGAAAGTCCATCAGTTGGCTTTTGCAAAACCCACTGCAGCATTTGGACTCTTACCTCATGACTGCTTCACTGCTGGCAGTATCTTCATTCTCCTGTCACCTGGAACAACTGGTTCACAAAACCAACAAAAAAATTAGGAAGAGGTAGATTTATTTATATCCATTTCCTCTTGTGGTGACACAGTCCTTTAATTTCAAGCTATGTGTGCACCTGATTTAATGAAACAGTCTGTGAGTGAGGGAGAAGGAAACCTGTAAATCCATTCCACTGCTTCTCTGACTCTATTCACTCTTCTAAAATGGTGCTGAAATATGTGAACTCAAAGACAGGGTGGCAGGGAAGAAATGCAGGGAAGGAATACAGGTCTCTTTTGCTGGCCTAAATATCTTGATTCAACACTTGAAGGAGAAAAAGGAAAATTTAGTCTGAATCATATGCAGAAGCAACCAGTATTGGAAGGAAAAAAAGAAAAAAGGAGAGGCTACAGAAAAAAAATCATATTCTGAAAAATGTGCTTTCTAAGGTGCTTTAAAAATGTGCTTTAAAATTTCCATCTGAAGTCATTCAGGAGAGGCTCCTAAAAACCTAAAAGTGCTGAACATCAGGGTAAAGCAGGGCTGGCAGCCATCTTTCCTTTATGGGAAAAGCGAGGTTTGTAAATGAAACGCCAACACCGAGCGAGACCCAAATGCATCAGTGTAATAGGAACAGGGAAGCAGCGAGGCACAGTGTGATATTCTGAGCCACTCGAAGGATGAGTCATCAGCAGGGTGGGCTCGCACAGCTCCAGCCAGAAACACAGCGGCAACACACCCAGCTCCATCCTGGCTCCAGGGAAAACCGCTCGGCCTCGGCACGGCCGCCTCGACAGCGAAGGATAAGACCCCCGCTGGACCAGATGTCAGAGAGGCTTTTGCCTAGACTTATCAAGTGGAAACATACCCTAACAGCAGTTATCTCCTAAATCCATGTTCTAACACTTAATTAATGCAGTAAAGCCCGTTCATGATTAGCCCTAAACTGGATTGTGCTTGGGATTGCTTCTGAAACTTATTGCTACGAACGGGCAAATTCTTTCTCCTCCTGCTGAGCTTGGGTATCAGCAGGTGGGAGCACACAGGCCTGTGAGAGCATTTGCAGGCAGCTGGAATATTTTCCAGCGCCCCTGTGTGCAAGGACAGAGGCTGCCATCTACCAACAGTCACGGGGTGATGCATCGTGTTGCCTAAGCCAAACTTTTTGCTTTGGTTTAGATAAAAATGTTATGCCTCTGTTGTTTTTTCCCATTTCCCAGCTTCTTTTTCAGTTATCTATTTCCTCAAGGTAGAGGACAAATGATTGTTACAGCATTTGAGCACGTGGAATAACATAACCTTCTAGAAGATGAGCAGATTTTATTTTTAAACAAGCAGGCATATGTATCCCATAATCTGCACAGAATTGGCCACTCAGTGATCCACAGCAGCAGTTCTGATTTGGGATTTGCTTACCCCTTATATGAAGTTTAGAGAGAAACAGCTATTTTCCCCCTAAAATCTTGTTCTGTGAATGATGATCTTTCAAAGAGCTCTTTAAAATCTAACACTTACAAAACGATAATGGAAACAATACACAAGCATTATCTAGTATTTTTTATCAACTGATCTTGTAGTTTTTCACCAGAAAGACATAGTTAACTATTCCCAGATAGGAAAAGAGAGGCACAAAATGGGAACAGGCAAATAAGTATCCTAGCCAAAAAGAACATTCACATGTCCCATTATCTATTCAAGTGCCTAATGGACTACTCTGCACCTTGTATAGCAACTTCTCCTCAAAGCCTGCTGAAATCCCTGGAGAGTCTTTCACCAACTTCACGTGTCAGTTTGACTCACACTTAAAGACAGCAAAGGAGACAACCAACAAGATTTGGAAAAAGATGTGCATATGGTATCACTTGGTAGATTGATTTTGAGCTTGGGATGTCAATAAGAACCAGGTTTAGCAGCTGCTTGAGCCTGTGCCAGAGTCAGAGCTGAGGAAAAGGAACAACTTTTATCAGGTGCACTTTGGCAGTGACAAGGTCCATCTTCAGATTGCAGGGATGCTCATTTTGCAAAAGCAAAATGGAAAATACTCCCCATTAAATGGCAGTAGTTCAAGCTTTTGCACAGAAGTCTGAGAAGCTGAATTACGCTGCCTCCATAACAAAGCATGAGCAATATTTCCCCACCTGCAAGCCAAGTTTAAACAAAGAGTTTTAAACAAATATAACTTTCCGAGGATGGGGGGAAGGGCATTGGTTTAGAATACATCAACTTAGAAGTTTTGTGAATAATAATCTGTGGATGAGACAGCCATCCTCAGGAAATCCGAGCAAGAGCCCTTTTCTGGCTGCCACAATGCAGCTCCCACACCTGAGGGAAAGGAACCCGGCCACCCCTGAGCGCACAGTTTGCTGCCCAGCCCCAGGGCACTCGTCTGGGCAAGCACATCTCTGTGTCTGAGGGCATGTGCCAGGTTTCAGACACAAATGCAGTCATACCATCCTGCACTGCTCTGAAAAGCATCAGCCCAGGTAACGGCTGATGGGTTTGCTGCTCTCCACCTACAGCCACAGCTCCACAGGTGTCCCAGGCTCAGCTTCACTGCTCACTGCTCTGCTTGCAGCCCTCAGCAGCAGCACAAAGACCTCCCACACCTCCACCCTGGTCACAACCTCCACAATCGCTCCTTCCCTCTCCTAATCTAAGGCTGTAGGGCACAGTTCACCCACACTCTACCTGACATACTTTCAAATGTACAAATTGGTTACTCACTTCCACTTTCATGTTTTGAGTAGATAACATTATTCTGGCTGCTCTGCTAGGAATTACTTTCTTTTTGAGAAGATTTTCAGAGCCACATTTCCAGCTGTCATTGGCTACATCTGGATTAATAAATTCAAGGTGCCAGTGACTGAAATTTGCCATGATGTTAAATGCCCAGAAAGGTCTCAGCACCCTTTTGAACAACACCAACTAATACTGCCCCTAACAGTAGGCATAGTAGGGAGTTAATATCAGCTAGTTATCAATCCCAACAGGCAGGTTGAACATAATCCTCCCTCTTTTGAAGCCTCAGAGGTTCACTGTTACAGAGGTGACTGGACCATGCAGATGGATCAGTACCAGGAGTAAGTTCAGAAGTGTAGATTTAGCATTCATTGAGCTCATACCAGGGGTGGCTGACATTTCTCTAGCTGCCTGTGGCTTTGCCCCTCGATGCTGGTCGCTGAGCTTATCCTGCTAGCAGAGCCAGACCTTCCTCTAGTCCATAAGGTCTGCCCTTTCTAAAATATTGTGGATATTAATAAACATATGAAACCAGAAGTTACTAAAACCCAGAAGGGAAACTGGGTTCAACTTGGTTTAAGTGTTTAGATGAAGGAACACAAAGAAAGAAGCTAGGAGCTGTGAAGATGGTAAAGGGCCTTGAGGGGATGCTGCATGAGGAGCAGCTGAGGGCACCCGGTCTGTTCAGCCTGGAGGAGACTGAGGGGAAAACACATTGCAGTCCACAGCTTCTTTGTGAGAGGAAGAGGAGGGGCAGACACTGATCTCTGCTCTGTGGTGATCAGTGACAGGACCTGAGGACCTGAAGTTGGGTCAGGAGAGGTTTAGGTTGTATATTAGAAAATCCACCAGGTTTTAGAAAAAACAGAGGATGATTGGGTGCTGCAACAATCTCCCCAGGGAAGGGGCCACAGCACCAAGCCTGACAGAGTTCAAGAAGCATTTGGACAACACACTCAGGCACATGGTGTGACTCCCGCAGTGTCCTGTGCAGGGCTAGGAGTGGACTTTGGTGACCCTTGTGTATTCCTTCCAACTGAGAATATTCTGTGATTCTGTAACTACAATCCAAGTGAGTTCAACAAAGACAGAGCCAGTTTTGTGTATGTGGAAGGTTTCCGAGCACAAGCTTGGCTGTATCAGCACACAGCACACTGCAAGGCCAGTGCCGATGGGCTCAGCATGGGCACAGTGCCAGGGACGAGGCACTGGTGAGGCTGCACCTCGAGTGCTGTGCCCAGTTCTGGAAGGACATTGAAGGGCTGGAGCAGGTCCAGAGAAGGGAATGGAGCTGGGGAAGGGTCTGGAGCACAAGTCCTGTGAGGAGCAGGTGAGGGAGCCGGGGGTGTTTAGCCTGAGGAGGCTCAGGGCAAACCTTATCACTCTCCACAACTCCCTGACAAGGGTCGGGCTCTGCTCTCAAGTAACAAATGGCAAGACAAGAAGACATGGCCTCAAGCTGTGCATGGGGAGGTTTAGGATGGACATTAGGAAGAACTGCTTCGCATAAATGGTGATTAGACATTAGAATGGGCTGCCCAGGGAGATGTTAAGAGTCCCGGTCCCTGAAGGTCTTCAAGGACAGACTGAACGTGGCCCTCCGCGCCATGGTCTGGTTGCCCGCTGGTGTTCGACCATAGGTCGGACTCCATGGTGAGAGAAGCCTGTTCCAAGCCGATCGATTCCGTGATTCCGTGCCGGCGCGTCCCTCACCGCCCCTCTGGAGTTCCCGCCCCCGGCGGCCCGCTCCGCCCCGCTCCGCCCGCCGCTCGACATGGCCGCCGCGCTGGGGAGGCTGCTCCGCGCCGCGGTGAGTGAGGGACCGCCCGCGGCCCTGCCCGCACGCCCGGCCCCGCCGCCGCCCTGACCCTCCCTGTCCCCGCAGGTGCCCGTGGCTGCCGCCGCCGGGAGGAGAGGAACGGCACGGCCCCCGGCCTGCGCCCGCCGCCCCTTCAGCCTCGGTAAGTGCGGGAGGGCGGCCGGGGAACGCGCCCCGGGAGCGCCCCCGGGCCCGGCCCGCAGCTCTGCGTTCTCCCCTCCGCAGGCTCCTCGCGGTTCGCCGCGGCCGTGACCCAGCACGCCCCGGCCTTCAAGGGAACGGCCGTCGTTAACGGAGAGTTCAAGGAGCTGAGCCTAGATGATTTCAAGGGGAAATACCTGGTTCTCTTCTTCTACCCCCTGGACTTGTGAGTGCGGGTTTCTCCTCTTCCCGGTGGGCCTTCTGTCCCGCTGAAGGTCATTTCAAGCGTTGCAGGTCGTTCTGGTTTTGTTCGATTTGGGCCAGTCTTGCAGGGCACATGTGCCTGTTTCTAGAGTGGGAGTGATAAAATTGGGGGCACACGGCCATTGTGTGTTAAAGCAGTGGATAGGGTGGTTGGAGAGCATCTTCTGGCTGCAGGGCCTGCAGCAGGAGCTGGCTGTGGTTCCTGTTACAGTCCGATCCAGGGGTGAGGGCATTGCCTTGCAGTTTGGGACTGCCTTGGAGACTCTGTCCTTGAAGAAGCAAGGCCAGCAGAACTGCAGCTAAACAGCTTTAGCGCAAAACATGATAAAATGGGGGTCAGTCTGCTCTGAAGACTTGAATTGCCAGGAGTATCTTGATGCATGTGGGCACATGGAGAAGGGTTTAACCTGCAGATCTGTCTGCTGTAGTTTCCAGAAACTCTCTGTCCAGAGAGTCTCTAGCAGAGACAGTTTCTCCATCTTTATAAGCAATCTGTCTAGAACTCAGAGATGGTAACTGGTGTACCAGTTGTATGGCTGTGACTTTTGGTTGGAGACTGAAACTAATCTTGAGCAGGAAACATGGCTCAAATTATCAGTCAAAAGAAAATGCCTAGAAACAGACATGAGAGTCTTCTCTAGAGAAGATGGCAGAATTATACAGCCTGATCTGTCTTCCCACCAGCACCTTTGTCTGCCCCACGGAAATTGTGGCTTTCAGCAACAAAGCAAAAGAATTTCGTGATGTGAACTGTGAAGTGGTGGCAGTTTCGGTGGACTCTCATTTTACTCATCTGGCATGGATAAACACACCACGAAAGGTAGGAATTGAGTATCTTTTGGGGCTTTTTCTGTTGGTTTGGTTTCTTTTCACGAGAGCTCCAGAGAAGAGTTGAATAAATGTGTCAACACTGATTTTTAGTAGATTTCCTAAAGTCATATGCAATCAATTTCTACATTTGATGACATAATTCTGACCTCTGTTTTTTTGTTTTCTTTTTTGTAATTATCTGGCTTGGGTTTTTAACTTGTTTTGCTGTGATGATAGCCTTGTTGATAACATTGCATCCTTGTACATTTATCTCAAAAGACAAATGCTCAGTTTACATGCCACTGTCCCAAAGTGCCTGTGACAGCTGATAATGCACAGAAACTATCACAGAAAAGGAGCAGCAGCTGTTCAGTCGTTACTGTTAACAATTACCCAACACTGGTGGCTTCAGGTTGGAAGCAGAGGAGCCAGCAGTTTATTGGAGCACTTGTATCACTAATTTTCACTTGCTGAAAGGGTTCCACTCTTGCAGTACAAATGGAGGTTTTTGGCTTTCTTTAGGGAAAGAAAGTGATAAAGACAGCCTGTTACTGGAGAGGAGTCTCTTTCAGATACTTGTAAAAATACCTGCTTTTGATGACATAAAGCATCTCCCTGGCTTAGGTAGTTGTAGAGAACCACAAGTGTCCCATGAAGGTGCAGAAGTGTCTGTGCCATCAGTCCCAGCCTGTGTGGCCAGCAGTGTGCAGTAGTGCTGCAGGCTGGGTGCCTTCTGGCAACTGGAACCTGCAGGGGAGGGAGGAGAGTTTGCTGCATTTAATACACCTTGGCTGTGCCTGTCAGGAGTGTTTCTTTTCTGCATGTTTTGTTCAAAGCTCACAGTGTGACTGTGGCCTGACTTCCCAGCTTTATCCCAAAGGTGTTCAGGGTATGTCAGTTGTGCACAGTGTTTTACAGATGCACAGACTGCTCTGAGTTGGAAGGGACCCACAAGGATCATCAAGCCCAGCTCAAAACACCCTGCACAGGGTGGAAAGAATTCCATGGTGGCACAGGCAGGAAACTGACACCCAGAGAAGCTGAACTCTTGGTTTGTCTGACATCTGTGCTCAAAGCTCCAGGGAACTCAGGATCAGGGTCTGTGGCTGAGATTACACAGTGATTCACTGATGATGCCAAGAATAGCAAAGCTAACAAACTCCAGCCTTGTTTCAAGGTTAGAGAACTTATCTCTCTTGCAGTCTCTGTGGCAAAACTGAAAGAAATATTGTTTGACTCTTCAAATAGTATTTAAATTGATTTGTGAGAGGCAAAACAAAAAATAACCATGTGCACTGAATGGAGCAGCAAAACTCTCACATACTTAGTGTCTTGGTAAGAGCATTGTGTTTGGAATCAGAATTGTTAAGGTTGCAAAAGATCTCTAGGATCGTGAAGTCCCATGATGGCGATGTGGTGATGAGCTCACCATCACCGTGTTCACCACTAACCATGATCTCAAGTGCCACATCCACATGTTTTTTTCCCATACCTTGGGAAGTCTGTTCCAATGCCTGACAATCCTTTCTGTGAAGAAATTTTTAATAATATTTGATATAAACCTCCCCTGGTGCAATTTGACATAATTTCCTTTTTCCTGTCCCTTGTTACATGGGAAAAGAGGCTTACCCCCACCTGGCTACACCCATTTTTAAGTAGTTGTAGAGAGGGATAAGATCAGCCCTGAGCCTCCTTTTCTCCAGGCTAAATATCCTCAGCTTCCTCAGCTGTTCCTCATCAGATGTGTGCTCCAAAGTTTGTTTGTTCACAGGTTTGTTTCCCTTCCCTCCCCACCATGTTCATCCTATTTAATTCTGAACACTTAAATATGCACTAGAAACATTTCTATTCAAAGCTCCTGAATAGGATACAAAGGAAGTTTTTCTGGAAATGTATGGCTGTTGCCGTTGGTAGCCTCTTACCACCAAAATCAACAATTCTGAAATGCTCAGTGCAAAAGAAATTTTCACTTTCTAAAGAAACAAACTGTTCCTGACTACTTTAAAACAAACAAAGCAAATCCAAGCAACACCACATATGCTTGGTTCCTTCCATGGAGCAGATGCTGTGGTTGTGCTTTGTTGTTACTGTGTCCTCAAGAACATGGAATCCAGCAGCCCAGGAAGGATGAGCTTTTGAAGGTGGAGCTTTTTGTAACCAAGTGGAATCTTTCTCTGTTCTCTAGAGCGGCGGTTTGGGCAAAATGAATATTCCAGTTCTGTCAGACCTCACAAAACAGATCTCCCGTGCTTATGGGGTGCTGCTGGAAGAACCTGGCATAGCACTGAGGTAAGGCTCGACTGCTGTGCTGTGACACAACCCAGTCTAACCAACATAAAGCACACTGTCCCTCCTGTGGGGAAATGGCATCAGGTGAAGACTGAGATGTCTTCTGCTGCAGGACGGCTGGATCCCACCCCAGGAAAAGGGCACCTGCTCATTTTGGCCATGAAGCTGAGAATGGCTCCAGGTCTCTCTGAAAACGTGTGAGGGAAAAGCCAGCTCTTCTGCTCTGAGAGAGGGGGAGAAAGGAAGATGTCAATAAAGAAAAAGAGCAGCATAGAAGGGCAATTTCTGATAATTTTTTTCCCCCATAGTAGTCCCTGAGAAACTAGTGGATTGGGTAGGAGTCTTCTGGAGACCTTCAGTTCCTGATCTCTTTGGATCAGGAACTTTTGGTGAGAGATTAAGTTAATTAGTATGGTAAGATTGGGACTTTGGTTTTCACAAATACTTGTATGCAACGGGATTTAATTCAGTAGCATAATGCACAAGCAGCTCTTCACTCAGCACCTACAGATTTGACCAAAAAGACATGAGCAGGATGCCAGCTTTCAGTTTTGAAGTACAGGTGGAACACTTGAGTTCTCCCTTTGCTCTGTTTGCCTGGATTGAACAGTCTCAGACATACTTTATAGTTTCACAGTACCACAGCAGCTGATCACTTTGCTAACAAACAAGATCCCAAATGCTGCAGTTCCCGTCCTCACTGATGTGTGTCACTGGGGCTAACTACCTTGCTGAAATTGTGCACCCAATTCTGTGGTTGTGTTCGAGGGTCCCAGGACGAGGGAAGAGATGAGAGTCTTGGCTCCATGTTTCAGAAGGCTGATATAGTATAGTATATTGCATATTATATTACATTATATGTTATATATTTTATATTACATTATATATTATATTGCTATACTAAAAATAATAGAGAGAAAGGATTCATCAGAAGGCTAGAAAGGAATAGAAAAGAATGATAACAAAAGCTCGTGACTCTCAGAGAGTCCGACACAACAGGATCTTTGATTGGTTATTAAGTAGGAGCAACTCACATGGACCAATGAAGGATGCACCTGGTGGTAAACAATGTTCAGACCACATTCCACAGCCATCAGATAGTTATTGTTTACATTTCTTTTCTGAGAAAAAGAATCTCCTCAGCAGAAAATCCTAGCCAACGGATTTTCATAAAATATCACGGTGACACAGTTCGTTGTGTTTGGCCTTGGAAGTTGATTTGCCTGCCTGAAGTGCTGCTCCATTGCAGGGGCCTGTTCATCATTGACCCCAACGGGGTCATCAAGCACCTGAGTGTCAACGACCTGCCCGTGGGGCGCAGCGTGGACGAGACGCTGCGCCTGGTCAAGGCCTTCCAGTTCGTGGAGACTCACGGCGAGGTGTGCCCGGCCAACTGGACTCCAGACTCCCCAACGGTGAGTGCCTCTCAGGGCTGGATGCCATCCTCCTAAAGACAGCCACGTGCTTGCCTGGAGGGCTGGGATCCACTGGGGCCTGGGGTGCTTCGCTGGGTCTGTGCCTCTTGTCTAAACACAAAGCTGTTGCTGGCTGCGCCAGTTTAGTCTGTTTGTCTGATAGGAAGTGTGGGATTTCTGTGAAGAAAGTTACTGGGTTCCTTTTGGGAGATGCAAATTGTGTTCAAAACTCCAAATTTGACTTGGACTCGCCAGTAACTGAGTTCAGATTTTTTACTTTGTAGTGCATTGTAATTTAACAGGAAAAACGTGGTTTATACATTAACTGAGTTCAGATTCTTACTTAATGCATTGTAATTTAACAGGAAAAATGTGATTTATACTTGAAATTTTCAAGTATGAGTTGTACATGATCTAGGCTTTTTTCTTTCAGTCAACTGCATAAACAGATTACTGTTTTTATAAAGGATGCATGGATTTTCTTGGATAAAGTATCAAATCTGTAATTTTTTTTTATCATATCTGTTCCAGGTAATAACTTAACTTTCTTTTCTTGACAGATTAAACCAAGCCCAGAAGGTTCCAAAGAATATTTTGAAAAAGTGAATAAATAAACACTCAAATTGTGGACAAAATTCTTTAGTTTTGTCCACTGAAGACATTAGGAAAACAGCTGTGATTGTAAAAATTAATAATAAAAATAAAAGCTGTCATTTTCTCATGTTTAAGAAGAAATTAAATGCTGAAATATTTACTGACTCCCTTGTCTTGCTTTAAAAAGGGTAAAACTAAGGCTTTCCCCCTGCCTTCTGCAACTTCACTTTCATGGATTTCTGTGACCATTAATCATCCTGAATGTGATGAGTACACAAGTTACAATTGCCTTCCACTGGCTTTTTCCTTTTTCTTTATCTAGTTTTGTACCAGAAAATGTCCTGCACTTTGTTTTCTCACACAACATGAAAGTCTGTAAAAAAAAAAAAAAACGTTTGAAACAATGCCAGAATTTTGATACATGGTTTGTTTTTAATGAATTGTGCACAGGAAGAGATGAATGTAACAAGTAAAAATAATTTTGAAATAATTGGTTTTGTGTGTAAATGCACTAAAACATGGAATGAATGTCAGTATGTGCCATTTAAAAAAAAGTGCAGCTACTCATGAGCACTAACAAGCATGAACTTTAATTTTGTGTGGGAGATGATAAAACCTTGAACCCCCACAGTGCACTTTATGGAGTTAATGACCAGTTTTCTTTCACTTGAATTTGAGTTGTGCTGCTTGAGACTGATGTAGCATCTCTCTAGCGATAATAAAATAATCTTAACATGGCCTAGCAGCAGGTGTGGTGCTTTGCTTTTCTTTCCCTTTCCCCTAAGCCCTGTGTCTCTGGAAGGAACTGGAAGTGTTCAGTGCCTCAGCAGCTCAGTCCTGCAGGGACACAAAGTCCCGGGGGGCTGCACAGATCAATGAACACTCTGTGTGCTTCTGTTTATCGTCCTCTGTCCCTCCGAGCAAAGCAGCAGAAGGTGCCTGAGCCCTGAGTTAGCTTTATAACGGGGATCAATGCTCCACGTAACAAAGGATGTAGAAATGAGACCGAAGCGGTGCCCGTGCTGATGCTCCAGGTTCCACTAGCTGCAAATCTTTTCAGTCTCGGTGTTTGGTTGTTTTGTGAAATGTAACCGTGGGTTTCTCCCAGTTAACCCGGTATTTGCCGCACTAAAGTGGCCGGGTTGTGCCTGCGGGGCTGCGACACCCCGACCTTCACCTGGCCCGGCCTTCTCCTCCCGCCGCCATCCCGCGGAGGGCGCGGGGTGTCTCCGCAGCCCGGCTCCTCGGCTCTGCCTTCCCGGGGGCAGCCGCTGGAAGGGAAAAGGCCGTGGGGACGGCCCCGGGGGCAGCCGCTGGAAGGGAAAAGGCCGCGGGGCCTCTCCCCAGCGCTTCGCGCCGCCGGCAGCGGGGCCCCGGCGCGGCGGCTCCGCGGGCGGGCGGAGCGTGCGGCACCGGACCGGGCCCGGCGGCGCTTCCGGTGCCGCGGCTCCATGGACGCCAACCTGCGCTTCTGGAGGGCGGAGGGGCAGGTGGGCACCGCGGGCCGGGATGGGGGCACGGGCCGTGCTTAGGGGAGGTCCGAAATAACGCCTCCTCCCTGTCTCCCTCAGTCTTTCTTCCAGAGGTTCCTCCTCTGGGCGGACGCCTTGGATCCGCTGCTGCTCCTCAAGTCCTCCGTGAGTACCGCGGGGAAGGTCGCGAGGAGCGAGCGGCCTGAGGGGTTGTGGCTGTGCCGGGCTGGGAAGCGGGCTCACCGCACGGCTGCTGAGGAGAATTCGTGATACATTGATACATTCGTGAGGAATACGGGCTCACCGCACGGCTGCTGAGGAGAAGGAAATTCGTGAGGAATGTAGCGAGATGTCGTGTTCCGCTGCCTCAAAGGGCTGCAGAGAGCTGGGGAGGGGCTTTGGGCAAGGGCACGAGTGCTGGGAGAGGGGAATGGCTTTACACCGACAGAGGAGGGTTAGATTGGATCGCTGAAAGAAATTCCTCCCGGTTAGGGTGGGAGGCCCTGGCACAGGGTGCCCAGAGCAGCTGCGGCTGCCCCTGGATCCCTGGAGTGCCCAAGGCCAGGCTGGACAGGGCTGGGAGCGCCTGGGACAGTGGAAGGTGTCCCTGCCGTGGCTGGGGTGGCACTGGGTGGGATTTAAGGTCCCTCTCCACCCGAAGCATTCCACAGCTCTACCTTAAACAGAAACACACGTGTGTGCACTTCTGATGACATAAACCAAGGGACATTTCTAGGCATGTCAGCAGCCCTGCTCAGACTGTGGCTGCTGTGCCAGCAGTTGAATTATCCCAATAATTCTGTGATTGTGAATTCATTGTGTCTAGGAGTGTTCTTGCTTTCACTGCAAGGAACAGATACATCATTAGCTTCTAGGTTTGTTTTATAGCTGATATATTTCACTTAAAATATTGAAACTGAGGAGGTTTTGTTTGTTTTTTCTTTTCTCTCAAATACAGAATGAAATAAAAACAACCAGGTTATCAATACTAATCAATGAGAAGACCCTAAATGAGCCCATACAGAATAATCAGGTATTCTGGACTGCAGTTAAAGTCTTAACATAAGTGTTTATCATATTCAGTTGTTGTTTTATGGTTTAAAATGCCTACTAGTTTTAACTTTTTAAAATTAACCTTCTGTTCTGCTCTAGTGCATGCTTTGGTGCTGTTACACAGCTCATGGGTTGGGAATGCTTTATATTCAAAAGTGAGTTTATGGAGAGAAATTTTAGGGGAAGAATAGAATTAAAGGGATATATAAATAGATACACTTTGTATAAAAAGAAGTGATTAGAAAAAGACATAGAATAAATTTAGAAAGAAGATTTTACCCAGCCTGTTCTGAAATTTAATTATTAACCTAATTTTCCAACTCTTGTAGACCAAAAAAGCCTTCTTGCTAAGCCTGGTAAGTTTACAAAAAATTTAGATTTTTCTTTTTTTCCTTATTCAAGTATGGCAAAGATGTTCTAATTTGCTTTTTTTTTTCCTTTTTAAGTCCAGCGTACACCCTGATACAGACAAGATAATTCCTGTTTTGTTTAGACCTCCAGGTAGGTTCCCTTGAGTGAAATTTCATGTGTATAACTGAAGCATCAGGGAGAAATAGCTCATGGTGAACAGCTGCTGTGATACCACAGTGACACTCCTCTCCACAGAGAAGAGCAAGCAGACTCTTCTCTTAGTTGCATTGTTAAATGTGTTGAAGACTGATTTATTTATTCCTATGGTCCTGCTGAGGAATTTCTCCCTGGGATAATCTGCTCATCTAGATGGAAACACTCTGATTAGTCTCTGCTTCTTGTTGCTGCAGAATGACTTCCCAAATCCCTCCACATTTAACTGTCTGCTGTAATTTACGTTTTTCCCCTGATGGCTGTGGCTGCTGGGTGAATTTACATTCTGGTGACAGATCAGGTGTGCTTGGGCTTTGTTTAGGCAGCACAGGTTGTTAATCAGAGATAAGCACACTGAGGCTATGTACTCATTATCTCCTGTGACCCTCACAACTGTGGCAGCTTTTGTTACACCTCTCTTTTGCAACAGAGAGCTGAACTTCTCTTCAGTTATTTCATTTCCAAGCAGCCCCGGGGAGGGGAGTTAACGAGGGCTCCTTTTGGCTGTGAAATCTGAGCAGGGATTGTGGCTTCTTGAGCCGGGAGTGAGAGATAAAGCTTAGGGCTGAAGTTAATGGTGATGCTGGGGGTTGTGGGCAGTGTTTCACTTGGAGATGGAAATAGACAAGGGAAGTTAGGGGAATTTTCTGCTCAAACCATCCATCTGCATTCACAGATGTTACTGTTGCTGAAATAAAGTTCTCTTTCTTTTTAGCTTTCATGCCCATAACTCTTCCCTTGGTGAGTAATCGTGACAGATGCCAGTGTGCACTCAGCAAGGCTTCCATTTTCCATAGCCAGGGGTTGGAGGGAGGGAATAGAAGTTTTGGGGCTTCATTGTAGCTTCAGCACAAGCTGTTTGAAAGGCATATGTTTTATGGGAAGTGCTGAGTAACCTGGAAATCAAGCCCTGAAAGAATCTCCCTGGAAGTCCAAAGCTGTTAGTTACCGTTCTCCACAGCATTCCAAGGGATTGTTCCTGTGTGAAGGACAGCTTTCTGATGCAAGGTGAGATCACTCAGCAATGAGAGCACGGCCTGGGTTTGGTCTGTTCAGCCTCAAAAATCTGGAGCTGCAGTGGCAAGGGGTTGGAGCCTTGTGTTCTGTGTCTCAGACCCAGAATATGATTTTTTTCTTATGTGGATGTGCATTTGCAAGTAATGGTGTTGTCAGTAAATTACCAAAGATATAAAAATAAACTCTTGTTACTGTGCTCAAAAATGGCACCATTTTGTTTCATAAAATTTGTAGCTGTAATCATGTGCTTATTTATAAATTTAGATTCTTTGGGTTTGGGCTTGGCCTATGAGTGTACATCCTGAGATAAGTAATTCCATACAGACATTACAGCATGAACTTACATGTCAATGCTAGAAAGTACAATGAAGGTCTTGATGGCTATAAAATTCATTAATAACAGTAATAAAATTAATAGAAATACTTATTTTTGATATTTACAGCGTAATGCACTCTTATAGATGTAGTTAGAGTCAGTGCTGGCATTAATAATAAAGATGGTTGATCCACTAATATTAAATTAATTACTGATCCTTCTCTGAGGCTTTGCAGATTCTCACCCTATCTCTTATTCAACATTTTATATTCTTATCTTGATTGATTTTTTTTTTTTTGAGAGTGTTCCACACCTTGAGCTCGAAACCTCAAGAAAGGTTGTGGTTTATTAAAGCTGAAGTGCTTATTCACTGTCTGAATTTAAGAGGAAGCTGGGAATTAACTCCTAAAATCTTAGATCAGTTAGATCTAAGTTCATATTCATAAACCAATCTGACCCTTTCTCAATCATTTCTTTAATTAGACATTTGTTACCTTAGTTATTTTATTTGCATCAATTTAAGTTTCACAGGCACAAATGCATTTTTCTTTTGGGTAAGAAAGCATCTTGCTGCAATATTCCTGCACATAATGTTTTACCACTATGTGTCTGTGTGCTTTCTATTGAACAGAAAAATGAATGTGCCACCTCTGTAACAAGAGAATGTCACAGCCTGGAACCAGGGCTGATGGTCCTGGGCACTGGCTGGAGCCTTTGACACTGCTGCCAGTGGTAC